TTTTTCTGAGCAAGTACCTCAAGTTTAGTGCCTTAGTCTCTACCTTAGGGGTGAGGAAAGCCTACCTAGGCACAGGGCCACACAAACCTGTGCCTGTTCCCTACTTCCTATTGGGGGGAAACTCCTGTCTCTCCTGTCCCTCTACTTCTGCTCCTCAGCCCAGCAGCTTGTCTGCTTTGATTGGCAGGTTTTCTATCCTGTGCTGGGCAAGAACAGGGAAAGTTTAGTACCAAGGTCTTCACCCTTGTAAGTGCCATGCTCTGAAACACTAGCAAAATAAAATTCCAGGCTAAAAAGAGGTATGGCTAAGGAACTCTGCTTCTTTTTGTGAAGATTTTTGATCCAATTCCTAATTCAGAGGGGGTCCTGTGTGCACAAGTCAGCTCTGCACTGTGGCTATGGTGAAGGGTTAGGGACCATACAGAACCCTTCCTACTCATGATGCATCTCCTTTCTAAACTACACCCCCCAAGCTCCCTCCTTTCTTCCAACCACCATCTCAGAATGAACAGTGAATTCTAGTCTTTCTAAAACTGAGCACAGGAAAAAAAAGTCTTTAAAATATGGTAGAATTTAGCTGATTCTGTTACAAAGAATTTTACCACATTTGGAGAAAATTTTGGTTAATTGTTAAGCAATACTGCTCCTAGCCTCCAGTTAGGCAGCCAAGCTCTGCATCGTGATCAGAGATGAGTGCCACATCACATGCCACAGAATCATTCATACAGCCCGCATTCCCAGTGGGTCTTCAGGGGCTGGAAAAAGCATCCTGCATGCACGTGGCTGTGGTTTCATTATTTCATACTCATTTCTGTATTCAGGAAGACTTTTTATTATGCAGCATAATTGCTGCTGTGGGGTGATCTTTGACACAAAGCAATTGGGTTCTTGACAGAATCAGCTAAAATAAAAGTAAGAGAACAGAAAGTAGACCTGTGATACGTTTCAGGTCTTTAAAAAAATCTACTATCTAGAGAAGCATGTCGATCTCCAATTATATATAATAAATGACCACCTCTGAAGAGCAACCTTGCTTTTCCAATTAATCTAAACAGAGAAAGCCAGAACACAGAAGTTCTATGAAACTTTCTACCATTCTCTTCCCTCTCAACCAGATATGAATGTAATCATTTGTTCCTATGTATTTTAACCATTTAGGAATTTTCAAATATTGAAATGAATACTCAAGATTTTCAATTATGCTGGTATGAGTTGTTTTACATGTTGAAGTTGACTGTTGCTTTTGGACACATGAACATCCACAAACATTTAGTTAATACTCAAAATGTGCCAAACGCAAGGTTATAATGTGTAAAACCGAGAGATTACCAAGGTGTGTGAAAGCAGGTCACCCAGATCCATGCCATCTCCTCAGCCTCATGTATTAAAGAGGTCTTAAAACTCACCTGCACTCTGGAGCTCGTTACAGTGATGGCTCCTGTTTTCAATAACTAATGGTTCTTACTCTTCAGATGGATACTCAGCACCTGGGACTTTACTTTGCACCCAAGACAGTGTGGCTTGGAGGCAGCACTGTTGTATCGCAGTATTAAGCTTTTATGTATGTACAAAAAATTACATATGTGTCCAACATACAAGGCATAAGTGAGAAAGGAGGAGGTATGAGAAGCGGGGGGAGATTCCTGTGGGCTTAGGAAGGCTTTGCGGGGCAGAAGAGACTGGAGGTTGACCTTGAGTGAGTCAGTGATGGGGACAGAGGGAAAGATGTGTGTATAAAGAAGATGGAAGTCATAAGATATGCTTGGGAACAATATAATATGCACTTCTCTTATAGTTTTGGTTGGGGAGAGAGTCTGAAGAGAAGGGCATAGGGTATCTTGCAAAAGTAGGCTAATGCTGTAATAAAGAACCAGGGCATACCAATAATGCAATATAATTTTTTACTCATTTGACCATTCCTTGCAAGGACCTGGGGCCTACATTTCCATGGGAAACCCAGGGAACCAGGCTCTCTCTTCACTCCATTCAGCCAGATTTCCATTCAGTAGAGAGAAAAAATGCCCTTTGAGTGGTGCCATCCACACCCAGGGTGGGTGTTCCTATTATGCACACCCAGAACTATGCCAAACCAATCAGTGGACTGATTTAGTAATTGTACACCCTTAATCCCAGCATCACCCACCCTAGATCCAGCTACCTCTGAAAATCCCCACCTATGACCATGGGAGGGTTTGAGGGACATCTAGAAACAAGCTATAGTATATGGCTTTATTGAAGGAAAGCAGGAAGCAGTGTGGCCAGGACAGTCTCTTTTGAACTGACCTTTAGCCCAAGTGGGTTGAACTTTATCCTAAAGGCAGTGTGAGTCATGCTCAACCTCAGCAGGAACAAACCCACTGGTGGTAAAAGTGCTTTCCAGGGAATGGCTTTTGTGTTGTGGATTCAAGATCATGTCCACAGCAGATATGTGATGGATCTTCAGCCATGTTTGACAGGATAGTGAGATGGCAGATGGGAGCCAGAAAGGAGTCCCAGACTTGTGGATCCTTTCATGAGTTGAGGAAGCCATCAGAACACTGTTGTAACTTGCCGCAACGAGAAAACCCAGATTGGAGTTCAAGTTACTTTGACAGACTCTTGGGAAGCACAAACTGGAGTTGTATTATGTATACAAAATTTGCTTTTTGACCTCATGGTAAGGAAAATTATTGGTGTAAATAATTTTTGTCAGCTTTCCAAAGTTTTGGACAAGTTAACTCTTTTGCAATTATGCAATCTAAAAATTTTTAAATATGCTTGAAAAAATACATGCAGATCCAATAGGAACAGAGAATGTCAATGAAAAGAATGTGCTCTCTGTGTGCCTCAGAGAATCCAGCACATAGGCTGCTGTATCTGGCCTAGGCTGCAGGGTTTAAGGAAGTTGTTTGCGGAGGAATTTCTATTAAATGAAAAACCAAGGTCAGTGTAGTCCTGTCCTTCCTTTGATGGGAGTTTTGTGTTTTGTGTGTAAACTAAAAGGGTTGGCATGAAGTCAGTTACCCACATCTGAAGTCTAGGACAGGCCCCTAACTTTAAGATTAGGCAGAGTTGAGGGAGAAATCTCAGAAGTCTGAGATTTGGGGGGAGATTTTTAAATGATTCCTGTCAATCTTCAAATAATGTAAAAACAATAAGGAGCTGTTGGTGGTATTTTCAGGTGTTCTCTATTGGTTTGTGGAAGAATCCATTAAAAGAGGCTTGAAGTTCACCAATATATAAAAAGATGTATAACCTGATCTGTTTTTCATCATTCCCCACCAAAAGGTAAACTGTAATAACAAAAATGGTAAGAACAGGAAGGGAAAGCAGAAAAGAATGATCACAGGGTGCCAGGGTGGGAACCCATACATCCTGAAGGCCAAGGCTGAGATCTGCTGTTCTGCACAAAGGCTGGTGACAGTGTAAGGACAGTTTTGTTCTGGTTTTAGAAATGCCTGAAGGTGGTCTGCCCTCTTCAGGCCCAGTGTCCTTTGAGCCATGAGTTCTTCATTTTCCAAGTCCTCTTTAGATATGAATTATCCACTCCAGACATCAGGGGTGAAAAGGCTACTAGTTTGCATTCTACCTAGCTCTCATCCCAGAGAAGCCAAGTGATCTATTTATTTACCAAGTTAACTCATTTTCTAAGAACAAAACCAAACCTTTATTTATAAAGTTCACAGCAATCAACATTGTGAGGAATTTTCACAATTCATATTGCAAGGGCGAATTTGTTAGATATAAATGGATTGGAAAGCACTTTTTTTTGGTCTGCCTGGCTTTCTGAGTGCACATTTCCCACTCACTGAGGCTGAAGAGCAGGTGCTCCTCATGAGGAGGAAGAGAAGTATCTGCATCCTTACATTCCAGAGAAGAGAGGTGGTGATGGGCAGAGGAAGAGGGGTGAAAGTTAAGGAAGAGGAAAGGGTGAAGAATGTGAGGGTTAGAAAGTAGGGAAATATTTGAAGGCTCCAAAACTTCTCCCATAAGCCTAGAAGGCTCTGCCAGTTCTTCTTAAATCAATCATCAAACCTATGCTTCATTGATGGAAACAGATGTGGTTAGCTTGCTAAAGTCAGGCAACGGGTGAGTTCTCATGCATGCAGCTTCCAAAGGTTCCACTTTCAACAGAATGGCCACTTCTGCTGGCTGGACCACCATTTGGTCATCCCAGGGACACTTTCCTGCTGTGCAGAGTGGGGCCTTCCTGGAGAAAACTATCTGGGGCCAGGGATTTAGCTGAGTCACCCACTGCACCTGCCTTGGAAGTGCAAGGTCCTGAGTTCAAACCCTGGTACTGGAAAAACAAAACAAAAAATGAGCTAGATGGAAATGGGCGCTGAAAAAGGAGGAAAAGTCTCATGAAACACTGAGGGTTCTTTAGTTTGGGTGAGGTTGGGATGGAGAGAGAGGCAGGAACTGTGGGAGTGGCCTGGGAGTGGTTTGTATGAAACCTCCCTGGTGTTAGTGCCAGAAATCTCAAATCCTAGGCAGAGGGACAAGGTTGCAGAGGAACCAGTGGTGGCGCACCTATGGCATGTGTGTTATTTGTTTTTCTTTTAAGACAAGAGATGTTAATGTATGAGTTGTTTCCAGACTAAAACCTCAGCTTTCAGGTTTAATTGTGGTGTTGGCACTTTGCAATAAATAAGTGGGTTTTGGGTTGCAGTTTGGGCACTCGTCTTTAAAAGGTTCGCTATCAGTGCCCTAGACTTACTCCAAAGTGAGTCTTGAAAGGAACAAGATAAAGGCAGGTGGTAGTAGGCAAGGAGACATGATCCTGTTTGGATCACCCTTGGAGGGCGTCTTTTTGCAGCTGTAATTTGCTGCATCCACATAGAAGGTCAAAGGCTACTTGAGGGAGTCTTGTGGACTAGGGAAGTCACTCCAGGGACCCGGGGGTATGGAGAGTCCCCAGATCTTAGGGAAGGGCCTAGGTCTGTTTGGGCTGTCATGGTTGTGCGGTCTGTAGCACTGACTTTTCTAAATGTGCCTTTTTTCTCTCTCTCTTTTCTTAGGGAGGCAGGACACAGTGCGTGAGAGAAGTCTGCCCCATTCTCTCTTGTCCCCAGCACCTTAGTCACACACCCCCAGGACAGTGCTGCCCCAAATGCTTGGGTGAGTGACTATTTTCAGGTCAAAGAAAAATGAATTTCTTTTGGGAGTCTTTGTGTACAGCGTGTATGAGCACTGCTCCCTGGGGTCATGAGGTGACCCTGGTTCCTGGCTCACTAGAGACACCTGCTCCTGAACTCATGGGAGCAGAAGGTGTGAACAGAGTGTGGCTTCTTCCTTGTCTTCTGTTGATCTAGAACCTGGGACACCAGGTGACATGGGACCCTGCTCTGGGAAGTTAGCAAAACTGAAGAAGCCTTCTGTAATTGGCTTAAGGCTGTTAGTGGCACATTTGCTAGTGGTGTTGGAAGTGATGACGTGGAAGGATGCAGACGCTGGTTACCTGCAGGGGCAGAGGGTGCAGGCAAATAACGTGCAGTGAAGGAAGGGCTTGGCAGGGAACAGTGAGTAACAGACAGCAAGAAGACCGTGTGAGGGCTTTTTCTGAGCATCCACAGTGTACTGCATACCAAGCTGCACACTGTATTTGCTTTCTCTCATGGAATCTTTTCAAGAAGCTGTGAAATATAGTTGCTGTAAATAGAACTCTTGTGTGTGTGCAGGTGCTGTTTATTACCAATTTCATTGTGGTGGGGAGGAAGTGTCCTCCACATCTCTGGGGGGTCCCTGGGGTCTGATATGGTCCTTACGCACCTTTGGCTTTGCATTTCTACCCTTGCTGTTTCTCTTATCTCTATTTTGTTTTTGTGAAACATCATTTTGTCTCATCAGAGATCCTTCCACCTCAAGTCTTTCTATGCCTTGTGGGGCCATTGAATCCAGGCTTCTTCACCATATTTCCTGGTGGTTTGCAGCTGGGGAGGGCAGTTATTCCATAGAGAAGAATGGGCAGCAGGCAGCCCTGTAAAATGGAGCACTGAGCTCCCTGTTCTCACAAGGGCTCTGCTACTGTGCTTTGGGGATCTCACTGGTCATCTCTTCTCTTTGACCTCCAGCCTCCTGTCAGTCAGGGCTCAGGCTTCCCCGGCATCTTTTCTCCTTCCTCTCATAGTTTGCTTTCTCTGCCTCCAAAGCCTCTTACTGATTCATTTTTCTCATTTACAAGATTGCTGGAGCCATACTCTGAAATCTGTTTTCTTTTTATAACCGGATTGGCAAACAAAGGCATTTTGTTAAACTAAGGCAGTTTTCTCCTCTCTGAGGGATTTTAATGTAGTTGGTTGGTTTGTGTTGTTTTTGTTTTTTGATTTTTTGAGACAGAGTCTTGCTATAAGGTTCAGGCTGACCTTGAACTCACTATGTAGCCAGGCTGACCTTGAATTCCAGAAATCCTTTTGCCTCTTGAGTGCTAGCATTACAGGAATGCCCCACCACACCCAGTTTCTGCTTTAATCTCTTCTAACAATGTTTGCCTTCCTGAAATATATATATATATATATATATATATATATATATATATATATAGGCATGCACACACACACACTTTATAAATAAAGATGGAATAATTAAAAGAACAAAAGGGAATTGTTTGAGCACACCTGATTAAAGATATTTCCATGCACATAGGATTCATGGACCACTTGTGTGCATTTGTGGCCCTGGAGTAAGATGAGCCTGGTCAATGTGGCAGAAATGGCCATGCTGGGTCTGTGGGGAAGCAGTGCTTCTTCTCCTAGGACAGCTGTCACAGAGGAAGGAGACCTGGCCCCAAAGATAAGCAGACTTGATTAATGCTTTGAAGCCAATGCCATGGACATGCTAAGTCCACTAAGAAGCTTCCTATTTGAGCAATGCCTGTTGTGTTGAGTGCAGGTTTTACTGATCATTTGTGGTTTTAGAACAGACTACAAAAGGAACAGCAAGTATTGGGAAACTTTGAAAATCCTAATTCTCCCAAGAAAGACTTTTGATTGGGCTAAACTGTGGTGGAATGGTGTAAAAATGGCTTAATCAGGCTGTCCTCTGAGTCTCAGAACAAATCCTGTTAGTGTTCTATTTTAAACTGTGCCATGATGACTTTGGGATTAAGATCTTGTGTTCTTTGGTGGTTAAAAGAAACATATTCATCCAACAAAAGACAGAAAGAAGGAAAGAAAAGCAAACACCAGGATACTTTCTAGATGCCGAAATCTTAAGTCTACTCAGACTTTTGGCTATGTGGGCACTGGTTTACTTTTAAATTTCCCCTCACCAGGATTGCTTCCCATGACCTACCCTTGCCTTTTATATTACAAATTCCTTGCCTTGCTTTCCTCATTTCCAAAGGAGAGTCTCATCAGAGATCAGTGCACACAGAACAACGCCCAGCACCCTGCCCAGTGGGACACAGTCCAGGACCATATTTGAATTATGTCACTACTGATAATGATAATGGTCACTACCTGCCATACCTGGGTGGTGTTAGTGAGTGCCTAGCACTGTGCTAAGAGCTTGACGTCCATAATTTTAGGGAAAACTTATGGTTTAGCAAGGGATAAATTAAGGCATTGGTCATTTGTTTAGGGGTATTAAAATGTTGAAGAATCCTTTTGTTGATCATTTAATAGATCATTCCATTGACAGATAAATCCCATCCATTCCTCTATGCAACAATATTGAGTTCAGTGATGATGGTGTAAGAACCAGCTATGGAAAGAGAGGAGAGGGCCATTCTGTCTAAAGATGAAAGGATTCTGGAGAGGAAATGTGGACCTCAGCCATGAAAAAGATTTATTTTGATTGGTAAAGAAGAAAGTTTCTATATAAAACTTTGTATCTATTTGTCTCCTACCTTTTGCCAAAAAGGATTTGAAGTGACTTACAAAATAACTGAAGTATATGTAGAAAAAAGATAGGAAAAAGATAAACAATCTTATCACAACTTTAAGACAATTACTTAACAGAGGCAGAGCTCTTTTTACTTCTTACAGGACAGAAATATATCTTAAATGGGTTGATAAAAGAAACTAATGTTCAAATTAGTGAAAAATATCTTCACCCTCATTTTTACAGTAAGTACAAGTAAAAACTGCTTAGGGTTATCTTATGTGTGGTAATGTCTTAAAATGAAGATGCAATTTGGCAGTAGTGATTCTAATGGGATTGGCCAAATAAATCTATGTGATTTGGGCTGCACACAGCTTTCTGTTACTTCAGAGTCATCCTAGAAGGGCTCCCTAGAGGGATAGAGGAATACATAGGGAATGGGTGAATTTGATATTTTATAGTCAATCCTCTTATTTAGTCTGTAAGTTCTCAGGAAGTTCAAGAGGCTCAAGACAGGTGTGCATTCAATATCAGGTGTGATTGAAAAGTAGAATGCTTAAATTAAAAAAATTATTACAGTAAAGGAAGCATTACCATTGGTACCCCTCAAAATACCCTCTCCTTTGCTCCAAACATACTTATCCAATTATGCCTTCTACTTTGTGAAGCAGTTCTGAAAGTCCTCTTTCATGAATGTCTTCAGTTGTATTGTCATGGCTGCCTGAATTAATTCACAATATTTTCCTTTCATGGTCATTTGGACTTTGGAGAAGAGCTAGAAGTTGCAACGTGCCAGATCTAGTGAATAGGTGGATGAGGACACATTGTCATGTTTTTATGAGCCTGCCTTTCTTCTGGATGGTACTTGACAGCAGCATTCACTATAGTTTTGATCATACTTTGTAAAGTCACTCACAAAAGAGGACTTCCAGAAGTGCTTCAAAAAGTGGCAAGAACAATGGGATAAGTATGTTTGAAGCAAGGGGGAGAATTTTGAAGGGGACTAATGACGGTGTGTCTTTTACTATAATAAATTTATAAAATTTAAACATTCACCATATATTTTGAGCATACCACTTACCTGTGTTGGTTGGAATACTGACAATCAGTATGCTAAATTTTCTTACTATCAAAGAGCTTTTGGTTATACAGCTTAATAGTAACAGTGTGATAGAAGTGCTGCTATGACATATTGATTCTGTTGATACCATTGTATGAGTAAAATTAGTAAAGTACAGAGAAATCTTACTCAAGTCACAAGGGAGTCTGCATGTTGGACCCAAATTACAGCTCACTGTCACTTTTTGAGGACCTACAAGTTTATTCTTCATGATGAGAGCCAAACTAGTGATTTAGTTCTGAATCTATACTATATTCTGGCCTACAAGTTAACTCTGGTAAGAAGATAATATTTTTTTCTTGACTTACTATTTTCAACAATGCTGATTCCAAGAAGACCACAGCTTACTGATAAAGATTGCTATTCTTTTTTTTCCTTTTTCAAGAAAAAAGAAGACTGTGGATATAAATATGATTAATGAATATGAATTTCTGGTCTCTTTCTTTTTCTGGTAAAGGGAATTGAACTGAGGACCTCATGCTTGCCAGGCATGTGCGGTGCCACTGAGCTAAATCCCTGATCCTGAATTTCTGGTTTCTTAACTTTATCTTTAATTAAACTAATGCTCCAGAGATGGCTTGAGGTACTTTAGGAAATAAAATCTCCAACTTGAAAGAAAGGAAGAGACTGGATTTTGGTCCATATTTGGGTTTTGCCTTCTTGGACTTTCTGGTTGTCAATCTGATCCTCTTATCAGTGGAAGCTGAGATAATTCTACAGAGATACAATGCCTATTAAAGGTTGAGCACTTGGCACGTGCAATTGGATTCTGCCTCTTTGCCATTTGAGTCAGCTTCACCCTTTACGGTTTTATTGTTTGGTTTTTTTCCAGTACAGGGGATTGACCCCAGGACCTTAGTACTGAGCTGTATCCCAGCCCTTTTTATTTTTATTTTGAGCCAAGGTCTCATTAAATCACTAAGTTTCCCAGACAGGGCTCAAACTTGCAGTCCTCCTGCCTTAGCCTCCAAGAATATTAGCCTTTATGCAATTTCTGTGATAATCTGTTCAGTGTGCTATAATGAAATACCACAATGGGGTAGCTTTTAAGCAATAGAGATACTGCTTTTAAGCAATAGAAATAGATCAAATTGCTTGTAGATTCTATGTCTCATGAAGTTCTGCTTTCTAGCTCATAGATGGCACCTCTTTGGTGTGTGTGACCTCACTTGATGGAAGGGGCCAGGGTGCTCTCTCAGGCTGCTTATAGAAGAGCACCAGCCCCAATCATGAAGGCTCCATCCTCACGACCTAAATGCCTCTCCAAGGCCCCACCTCTGAGTGCTGTCACATTGGCGATTCGGTTTCAGCATAGGTTTGTGGGATCACAAAAGTTTAGACAATGGTAGATGCTCTTTCATTAGCTCCTTTTGCTAATTCTAGTCCTTGAGGTATCTTGACTCCTTCTACCTCCAACCATCCTACCTAGTTTGGGGGATGGTTAAATTTGTGTTGAAAATAAAGCTCAAGTAGTTTAGAAGTCCTCTATGACTTCCTTGTCTCCACACTCCCCATGATAGTTTCTTTTCAAAACTTAGCATGTCATTGTGTTGAAATAGCCTCTGTGAGTTTCTCTTTCCAGTGGACCATGAGCCCCATGTGGGCCTCTATTTCTAAGACATCATGGTTTACTGTGATAGATGTGTAATCATGATTTGTTGAATGTCCAGGTTCATGGTAAAATTAAACTCTTTTAATCAGTGACTCTCTAAATTAATAACCCCCAGGGATCTACTGGCTCATCTGGCCCAAGGCTCTCTCTTTGTGCACCAGATTTACCTGTTCTTGGGAGGTGGCTTAACATCCTGTGATACAATTGTTGATTAACGCGAGGGGACATCCCTGGCTTCTGTCTCATGACGTGTTGTTGCTTCCCTCCAGGTCAGAGGAAAGTGTTTGACCTTCCTTTTGGGAGCTGCCTTTTTCACAGCAGTGTGTATGACAATGGATCCTCATTTCTCTATGACAACTGCACAGCATGTACCTGCAAGGTGAGGTGGAGCAGAGGGGCTGTGGCACACATACCCACAAGAGGGTTAAGGTTTCAGAGTTATTAGCCAGTACCAATGGTGTTTATCAGGCACAGGGATCAGTGGTGCTACTTCACAAGTGAAATCACACTCAAGGTCACCAGGGAGTTCATGTGCAGCACCCAGCTCTTACTTCATCTTCTGGGGACCTACAATGTGGCTCCTGTGGTAAGAGCCACACTCTGAAAACAGTCCTGAGGATTCCCCAAGCCAGACATGGACATGTGGTCATGCTCCCTGGATCCAGTACCCATCGTGAACTCTCGAGCACACCAGGAAGTGACAATGGCTTTAATTACACTCAAGAGAATGGAAAGGCATGGATTTACAGTTCAACACAAAGCTGAACTTGGTGGTTTGGTGAAATAATGTTTATGTGCTGCTCATTATGCCATGTCTTCCTTGAGCTATAGTTTGCTTTTCTCTGGAGGCAACTGGCCGTCTAATTCCTGGTAAAGAAAGAATTCCACAGCCCCAGAACTTTAGAGAGATACATATCACACATGCACAGACATCCTTATGCTGTAAATTATATGTGAAACCAGGAAGAGAAGCATTTACCATGGAGGACTTTGGGGTCAATGTTAGTGAGTTAACTCGAATGTCTAGGGAACCCAATTTTAAAATAACTTATTTTGTTGGTGATGGCTGTTGTTTTTTTTATTTGGTTGCTAAAGGGCTGGAGAGGGAGAGAGAGGCACATAGATATTAAGACCAATCAGGAGATCTAAAATGAAGGATACATTATTCCAGACCTAGTGAGTACCTGTTGTTCAAACTAGAAATCAAGACATAAAGTTTGAGAAAACATTATGGTTTTGCAAGTTATGAGTTGATTTTTAATAATTTCTATGTGCCATGTACTTTATATTTGAAATGTACAGTAAACCTGAGACTTGATGGGCAGAATAGCATGAAACACCTTAAATAACAGATCTGACCCTGTCACTCCCTAGAGGTTAAATGACCTGGTCAAAGTCACATCTTATACAGTGGAGCTCTAGAACACAGGCCAAATTTTGGAACTTCTCACTCAGTTCCTTTGCAGACACAGCACACACGTCGTCAGTCACCTGGGCTGGTAAGTTAGCTCTTAATTGATGCTCTTTAATAAAAAATGTATCCTTTTCCATGAAATCTCCAAGGTGGCATAAAGCCAAGGAGGCAGGGACCCAACAGAGCTATGTTAAGATATAATGTGGAAGAGAAGGGCAGGAAGAAGGAAATGTTTTGTCTGCAGTGAGAAGGGCTTCTTTGCCACTTGCTGGCTGGAGTAGACCAGTCTCTTGGGCATGGGACTGTAAACTCCCCAAAGGTGGGGAATGTATGCCTGCTGTCCCCAGGCACTAGAATGCCCCACAGCCTAGCCCAGGTCTAATCAACAGGTCACGTTTTGATGAGAATGAAAGATTTATTGCAACACATTAAAATATGGTACCTGAAAAATAAGTTTTAGAAAAGTTACACGTGAGTTATAGAAGGAAGGCCGGGTTGGATATCTGGTCCCCCTGAGGAAAGTCATCTTTAAATTCCCATTTATCTTTGGGTCCCCAGGATTCCACCATGGTGTGTAAGAAGAAGTGTTCCCAGCCTGGCAGCTGTGACAGAGGTGAGGAGGCCTGTTGTGAGCAATGCCTCCTGCAATTGCCCCCAGAGGACGTTAGTGTGTGCAAGTTTGGGAACAAGATTTTCCAGGTATGGCACAGGCCCTGCTCACGGGCACTGTTGCCCTGTGCTGACTGTTAAACAGCTCCAGAGTAATGCAAATTGGACTGTTCCACAATCTATATACACATGCCTATATGCATATATTTGCGTGTGTCTAATGTATTCATGTATATTGTACACACATACACACATATTATATATATATAATATATATATATATTTAACATCAATATATATTTAGCATCTATATATATTTAGCATCAATATATATATTTAGCTATATATATATATATATGTATATATATATTTAGCATCAAGTAAGGGCAGATGGGACATAGTAGGAGTGTTTGAAAACCATTTTCTTTTGGCTTTATTGCTGGTAGAGTATCTAAACCTGCACTGCACTGTTGGCCTTTCCAGTGGTTGATGTGGTTATGGGTGTCCAGTGCCAGGACCATCTTGTTCTTGGGGGGCCACTTCGGGGCCCTTGTCAAGATGACCCCCACTTCAAGATCCTGATGGATCTCACCTTGGTGCTTTTAGAAGCTTTTCACAGAGACCCTTTCCAAGCTAAATTTTGTCCTCTGGACCGTGCTCAGGTGAGGACTGTCCAGGTGTGTGTGTGGCCAGCGCAGTGGTCCATAGAGGTGAGAGGTTATTGTCACCACTGAAGTGGCGAGATGTCCACTGGAATTTAGCCACCATAGATGTGATTCTCAGTATGTCTTAGTGGTCACAGTGGGAAGCTGTGCAGTGACCATTACACTTCTGGGTGCAGGTTACAGGCTCTTTCCTCTGCTTGTTCTGTCCTGGCACCACACCGGGCAATTGCTGATTATAAATCCAGTAGGCCAAAGAAATTCCTCAAGTGGCTCTTTCTGTGTGAACAAGGAAATGTGAACCCAAGTGCTATTCTGCTTTGTGGAAGGAGAGTGCCAGTTGGCAGGGATAAACTGTACATGGCTGGTGGCATCTTCTGTCGGGGCTCTGCACTTTCAGATGCCCCCTTTCCATGTCCACGTGGTCCAGAACTATGGCACATCTGGGAATAAACCAACTGCTTCTCATCATCCCATTTAACTGCTGGGGCCTGGGATAAGCACCATTTCAGTCCTATCAAACAGAGGGAAATTACCATTTGTTCTTATACCCTATATGAACATTCATACTTGCTGTCTCCCAGGGTGGAACTGAACAGTGTATGAGGAGTAAGATGGAAATATGACTTGGTTAGACACATGGGAATTGTATACACACACACATATTCTAAGTCCTCTCTTATCTTTATCTTAAATTGATTATGAGGTATGATTAAAAAAATAAAGTAAATGTTTAAATTTTTTTAAATGCTGCAGTAAAAGACACATTGCCTTGAATCCCTTTCAAAATATTTCCATCACTTTGAATACACTCATCCCAGCAACCAGTTTTGTAAGTCCTTTTTCCTAAGTGTGTTTAGTTGCCCTGTTGTGTCTGCCTCCATGTCCTGAATCCATTCAAAACCTTGACCTTTCATGGTCGTTTTGATTTTGGGGAAGAGCCATAAATTACACACTGCCAGATGCAATGAATAACGTGGATGAGGACAGAGCATGTTTTACGAGTCTACCTTTTCATTGGATGCCACTTGGCAGCAACATTCACTGTATTTTTGTGCATTTTTTACCATACCTCATAAAGTCATTCAGGAAAGAGGACTTCCAGAAATGGTTAGGAAACTGGCAGGAATAATGAGATAAATATGTTAGAATTGAGGAGGAGGATTTTAAGGGAAATTCACGGCAATGTGTCTTTTACTATAATAAATTTTATAAAATTTATACCTTGTATAGATGACACCTCAGAGTTAGCTTAGGCTTAAGGATGGCATGCTTGAATCAGGGCGAGACATGCTTTTCCCCTTTTCCAGTGGAGAGGTCCCACCCTCTGGCCCAGCTCCCACAGAACCCTGTGCTCTGTCCCACAGGAGGGTGAGGTATGGTCTTTGCCCAACTGCACCATCTGTGCTTGTGTGACTGGCAAGACGGAGTGTCGCAGGAAGCAGTGTGTGCCTATCAGCAGTTGCCCACAGGTATGTCTGGACAGCGATCCACTTTCTCTTTACCTTAACGTGTTGGGAAACGTCCTGTGTAGCCATCTTCCTGTCATCTTCCTCCTTTCTCCTGTCTCTCCTCATGTGAACGCTTCAGCAAGCTCTTGGTGCAGCTCCCTGACTTCTTCCCAGTTTTTTCAAACGTCTTCGGCTCTGCTTAGATCTGTTTCCCTGGTTGCTTTTGCGACATTTTAACATCCTAACTATCTTTTGCTTTTTCCTCCCTACTCTCCCTTATCAAATCACAGCTTTCATCTCATACACAGAGTGAAGTGTGGCTGCTTACTAACAAATCTCCCAAGAAATTTCTCCTGTGTAGTAGCAGCCCAGGCCCTTTGTGCAAGTTCTCTGTCACCCTGGCCCCAGATGGAAATAGCACCCTTGTGGAAATATCTCCTTTCAAAAACTGTAGTCCAGTGTGTTGAATAAAGCACCCATTATATTCCAAAGCAAGAGTGTCCTTGAATTCACATTAGCAACTTGAAACCTTTCAGGGTTTCATGTATTTTGGGAAAATATAAATCTGTTCAGTGCCTTCCAGGGAATGAGAACAACATATCCATATATTGAAGTCTTGTCCTCTCTTCTCTGTTACAGACAGCTTTTAATTTCATTCACATCTGGTATTATGATAAACAAAAAGTTGCTGTTGAGGTACAAAAAAACAATAGCTGTTGCCATTGTACAACTGAATAAAGGGGTGTGAGAAGGAAGAAACCCTAAGTAGTCTTGGTCTAAAAAGCCTCAGACAGAAAATGGAAAACCTCCTATTAAAGAGAGAGGAGATATAGTAAGTAGACATGAGCATGGGCTGCTTAGAAATATTCATTGGTAAAAGGGGTTCACATCATTCATGTCATCCTCCAGGGGCCTTTGGTGCTAATGAGTCTCTCAGTATGTGTTAGTAATCATGGCTTCCTCTTCCTACAAGACACAAACCGGGGGCTGTGTCAACCCAGTGGTTCAAGCCTCTCACCTCCCTGGGCTTGCTGGAGTGTCCAGCTGGGCTTGGAGCAGAGCAGGGTTGATGATTGTTACTCTACTATTGCTGCAGGGAAGCCAACACTCTTTATGTCACCAGCATCTCATGAGAGGTCCTGTTCATGACCACATTTGGGCCAGGCGAATCCACCCCTCCCCACCAAGCCATTTCCCAGCCCTTCCCTCTGTGCCTTGCCAAGCTTGTTAGCACCTTGACCAAGATCCAGCTACAAGGTTCTGTTCCTAGGCATCTTTCCGGCTGGTACCCCCGCTTCCCACTTCCCATCTCAGAGGCCAGCAGGAAAACTATGGAAGGTGGCTTAGCCTCCCATGAGAATCCTTTGCAAACTCACCTTTCCTCCCCAACATCATCTGGGGGAATTGAAAAAGATGAAATAACATAAAGAACATCTGTATTCCCTGCTCTATCCTTCTTGACTGCCACACAGCTCTTTCCCAGAAGTCTGGGTATCTTGCTGCAAGATTTAATGTTGAATTCCCTGCCTGCACCCGCTGGCAGCTCGGTGGGAACAAAGGAAGGGCTATGAAGGTCCCAGTGGGCACTGGGTAGTATTGTCACAACACTGTCTTCTCGGTGCCACTGACATGTACTGAGGCTTCCCCTGTGGTGCAGGACTGATCACACTTAACTCTGAGATGCCTCGATGTGGATGCTCTGAGTGCCCCTTCTTACACACGGGTTGCATGGTGTCCAGACCTTCACAGCCAATTACAGGAAACTGGGCCCTCTGTCTTCACACCTTGCTCTTGGTTTATTTCCCACCTGATTTCATGACATGACCTGTGCTCCCTTCTTTCCCCAAGAAGGGAGATGTCAGTTTCTGCCTCCATGCGGATGTAGGAAACCAAGGGATGTTGGGTTCTGGATGTGGCATTAAACATCTGTGCTCCATGGGGATACAGAGCCTTGCTCTGTCCTGCTGGGGCCATTGTTCCAGGGGTTGAGATGACTCATATGGCTTTGTCCTCAGCTACTTCCAGTCATGACGGCTTAAAAGAGGCTTCATGCTGGACAGAAACAGATACCAGATCTGTAGGCAATGAGAAGGTCTCCTGATGCCCTCGATCCATGGCATGGTTAAGTGGAGCTGAGTTTGAAGTCTCATTTAAAGTTGCCATGGTCTTCAATGTGTCCTAGCTGATGGAAGAAAACAGAATGAGACCTGGTTCTAGTTGTTTTATACTGCAATTAACCTGCCTTTCAAAGCCAATACAACTGTTTATTTTTAAGATACCCACACCTGTTCTTGATTCCACTGGCCTCAGTAAATGAGCACTGTATGACCTGTATGTCCTTGTCACAGGTTGTAGGTGACCTTTCTGTGGCCTCTTTTCCTTAGTGCCTATAAACAGGGTGAGGCTCCTCCATCTGGAGTGGAGATACATTTAAATGAGATACAGTATGAGGAATGTGTAATGTAGAGCAGAAACTCAATTAATAGATTTTCTTAAAATAAAGGACGACTGAGAATGGAAATCTGCAGTGGAAAGAACACAGCACAAAACCAAGTTTAATTCTAGGTTCCACCTCCCCTGTTACATGACATCAATTTTTCATCTATGAAAAAGGAAATGCTCTGCTGCTAGGGTTCTTGTGATTCCTAATAACAATGGGTGTAATAATCTCTAACATCCATTAACCCTTATTAATATAGTTAACTCCTCAAACTCATGTAACTAACCCAATGTTAGGTGATGTACCCGAGGGATCTACAGGAAGTTTGTGACACAGCACGTGCTCCCTAAATACTCATCTCCTTCCACATTTCTTTTCTCTGTGATTAACCAATGAGCCAGAGATGAGACAGAGCTATCCTCTGGGCCCTGAGAATGTGCATCCTCTTCTAAAGGTCATGAGGTAAAAAACATGGAAAGATGTGCAGTGAGGGAAAATTGCACTGAATTTCAAAAAATTTAATAGAAATCACTTAGCATTTCAGAGGGCTCAGCCCTGGTGGCTCTGACTACATCCCAATGACTTCAAATGGGTAAGGTGCCACTTTTTGAAAGAAGGACACTGATGGAACCTGATCCACAGCACAGCTGTATCCACAGGATGCATGAGACCTCAGCCTGCATTGCAGTTTACTGTTTAGATTCCTCCCACAAAGACAGAAGGAAGACCTTGACCGTCAGACTGGCAGGCTAGCAGGCCGTGCCCACTGTATGTGTCCCCTGCATATTTCTGAAGGGACTCTCCATCTTCCCTCCACGCCACATGAGAAACTTCACACCAGCGAGTCCTGTAGGCCTCAAACTTCTCAGAGGATAGAAACAGCAAGGCCTTTGGAATGAACTGGCCTGGGCTCATAGCCCAATAGGTGAAACCTTTCTTTACCATCAACAGCACCTTCTGGGTGCTGAGTTCAAACATAGCTTGGCCTGATTTCCTTGATTTATCTGGTATTAGATTTGAAAAAAGAGCTTTGTCTTCAGCAGACCCTGTTTGTAGAATTAACTTTTTGTTTTTCTCCTGATTAGGGTAAAATTCTCAACAGAAAAGGATGCTGCCCCATTTGCACTGAGAGTAAGTTCATTGTTTTGAATATGTGCTGTTTTGAATATGTCCTCTTTTTGAACATGCCAGTTCAGGGAGTCCAGGTGGTTGAGTATCAGGCTGTTCCATCTCATTTCCCTTTGGGGTTGCTTTAGGTGATCGGGAAGTCTGTATTTGAGAGTTGTTTATGTGTTTTCTCATTTCAACGGGGTGGGTGGGCAGGGCGGGGGGTGGGGTCGTGTGCTCCTGGCATCTGCATGGCTCACCTCCTCACCACTGGGTGCACCGATACAGTGGCCCGGAAGTCTTCTTCTTGGTGCTGGTGGTGGCTCTGCTCCTCGGCTCTGGGAGCAGTGCTGCAGTGCTCTGGAAGGCTCCTCCTGGGCACTGGGGGTGGTTCTGCTCCTCAGCACTGCAGGCAGTGGCAAGGCAGCCCAGAAGGTACACCTCCTAGATGCTGGGGGCAGCTCTGCTCCTCGGCACTGGGGGCGATGGTACCCCACATGTTGAAATATACAACTTTTATGTTTTAAGAATCAAAAATTATTGAGGAAGTTGGGAGCAAAGCCAAGTTTCATTATTAGTTTACCCATTATGAGTTGGCCTTTCCATATCTGGAGGACTAGTGACTTCTCAGAAAGGAGAGGTAAGGAAAAGAAAGAAAAACAAAGACTAGAGTGATGGACGTGATGCGATAGAATACAGCCAGATCTGCAGCAGCTGTGTTAAACTGCACGTGTGAAACACGTGGTGGAGCCCTGGCCTCCTCCATTGTCACAAGAGGCAGCTGGCACAGGCAAAAGCCACTCAGCTGTAGGGACATCAGGAGGCCACTAAGTCTGCACCTACATCTGACAGGTCAGAGCTGGAGGTGCTCAGACATGTGGTTCTCTATCCAAATCTAAATTATACCATCAGATGATGATTTCCCAACTTTGTTCTTTCCATGTGTTTATGCTCTCTTCTCTCCAGCAGCCTTGCTGTAGTACTCATTGTTTTTGGCTGGCTTCATCTGCTCAGAGTCAGTTCAGAGATAGGATGGCTTCCAGTTCTTATAAGGAGTGTCCAGCTTTTCGTAACATAGTCAGGTAGAGTTATTTATGATGTCCTTTAGCTATGTGCTCCAGACCTCCTACTTTGAAATTCTTTTTGCCCTTTTATCCAAGATCCAGAACAAATGTTTGGGCTCATTTTCCCATCTTCTGTCAATTATGAAAATTCTTCTGCTATTTTTTTTTAGAGTAGACCGAGTTCATAAAACAAGCCTCATATTTTCTAAAACCAGAAAAATTACTTTTTATTAAAACACAAATGCACATGTGCGCGCGCGCGCACACACACACACACACACACACACACTACTCCTTCATATTGCTCCAGGGTTTTTTTTTTTGAAAAAAGAATAGAAACATTTTAAGTAATACACAAAGTATGAAAGGTATATATATTATGGGGTACTTTGCAAAGTTTAATGTGTGTCTATATTGCAATGTTCAAATCTGGTTAAACATACTCTGGGATTTTCAGCCTCAGTCTTTGGGCAGATGACTCTTTTTGGTGGGACTGTCTTTGAATGGCCTGCCTTAGACAATACGAGAGTCCAGCATCCTTGGACTGTACCCACTAACTGCCAGTAACAGCCCTTTTCCAAGGTTCTAACAACCCAAAAATGCCTCTTGTGGGACAAAATCTCCCCTATTTGAGAAGCTCAGGGCCCCACACAGGGGACATAGCCTGGGTGAAGGGAGAGCTGAACAGCTGTGGAGCTGGAGCAGTAACTCACTGTCAGTACTGCTATTGAGAAACAGCCAGAGAGCACCTTGACATTGTTCGCTGTAGTGAGAAGGCAAAAATCAGAGCCCCTGGCTTTGCTTGAATATATTTTTGCATTTAATTACCCAGCCCTAGAGAGAGTTATAAAGATATTGGTATAACTTAATGGATTAAAAGTCACAGGTTTTTCTTTCATTGCCCAGAAGCTAGAAATAAATTTGCACCCCATCTCAGATGGTGTGCAGTGTTGAATACAAAGCTTGCCTCTGATTTCACTTGTACTTTCATACTTTCATGTTTTGAATTGCTCAGTTCGTGTGTTTGTGAGCACCTTTCAATTCTTTCTTGAAGGAGGTAAGACTACATGAATACAGAAAGGAAATAGGTTGATTACAGAGCTCAAATATCCCCAAACTCCTTTTGAGTCTGAATATTTGTTGAATTAATGTTGCATTTTTTCCAGAGGGGTGACATTGTGTTGTGTTTCTAAACTCCTGCAGAACGCCTTCCTGCCTGCGTCAGTCTTAGTCTTGGTTGTTTAGTCACAAAGAAGAAGCTTGAATATGTAGAATCTTTCTTTGGGCACCCTCACAGTAGTCAGTGATGACAGTTACTCACAATCCTGTGGGTGGGGAGTCGTAATTGAATGAAATTGCAGGCTTGGTCTGTAGGGCTCTGAGGGATTCTATCAAGATGAGGGGGAAAATCTTAAAACCAGACCTGCAGAGAGTAATGAAGAGTATTGCTGTTTTTGGATAGCTTGGGGCTACTCTCCTTCCAATAGAAAAGAAGTAAATTTGACTTGGATGATTTGTTTAAAGTGCAGTATTTGAAGTGAGCTAAACAACCTTAATAGAGATTTTGTCAAGCACTATTTCTAGCCATGGCATGAAGTGCATTCTGGAGTGCAGTCCAGGCTGGCCATGAGCTAGGGGCTAGGAGGGCCACTTGCTGTGAGGGGAAAGTGCTGGGTTTATATGAAGTGTTGTTTTTGTGTGTGTTGGCAAACAGTACATGGAATCTTGATGTGGCCTCAGTGTTTGTTTTCAGACCTGGAAATAATACTTAGCATCAGAATTTTCACTGGTAAGAGAGGTATGTGAGAGTGTGTGTGTGTGTGAGAGTGTGTGTGTGTGTGTGTGTGTGTGTCTGTGTGTGTGTGTGTGTGTATGAGACTGTGTATGGAGAAAGAGGAATGATGGTGAGGGAGAGAGAGAGATGGAGAGGTTGATTATTCAGTATGAGAAAGTTTCCCCTCTTAATCATCTACAAAACCAGATACAGCCCAGATGTAGACAGCTGTTTCCAGGTGTCATGGACTGGTATACTGTGGCTATGTCTGTGCTACCTGCATGCAACCTAACTCTGAGGATCCCGACTTAAGGGAAAGCTTTTCACAGCACAGGTCTGCTTCAGGACAGGGACACTGAGCACAGATGCAAATTTAATTGCAATAACATCAAGGGCTCCTCATCCCACAGTAACAGAAAATACTACATTTCAACAGCCTCTCAGGGCTCAAAGAGGCTTACAGTGATTTTGGGCTGGTCTTACTTAAGGACCTGTAATGCCTGCAGGTGTCTGCAATTACACAGAGTCACTTTCAGAGGAGAAATAAATTGACATTTTCACTAACTGCCCTGGAAAGCCATAATAAAACTGTGAGCTTGGGGTCTATGTTATGAGAAATATCCACTGATAGAGGACCTGCAAATTAACAGTTCTGTATTTGAACAAGATTTACAGCTTCAAACACTGCAAGCAACTCTAGGTCCCTTTATAAATTAATTTTATTGGTACATTGTAGATATACATAATGATGATTATAGGCCATTTGTACCTGTGCACAATATATCTTGATTCTTCTTTTTTCCCCAATCCGCTCCATTCCACTCCTCTTTTCCTCTTTATTTACAGAAGCTTTCTTTTCATTTTTGCCTTCTATTATTTTTCTTTCCCTTCCTTCCTTTCCTTTTTCCCCCTCCCTAGTTCCCCTTTCTATTTCAATATTTTCCTATTTCTCACTACCTATTATACATTTTGGTCCTTATTGACACTTTCTGGTTTCTCACACCAGAGAAACATTTTTTCATATATTTATTTGCTATTTGTATTTCTTCATCTAAGAAGTGTATTCATTTCAGATGCCCATTTTTGGACTGGGTCTTTAAATTTGGGGTTTCTGATTTTTTTGAGTTCATTATATATTCCAGATATTAGTCCCTTGTCTGAGGAATATTTGGTAAAATTTTCCCCCATTTTAAGGGTTATCTCTTCACTCCCTTGGTGGTTTCTTTTGCTGTGCAAAAACTTTTTAGTATGATTAGATCCTGTTGTTGATTATTTATGGTATTTCCTGTGTGATCAGGGTTTTGTTGCCTTCAAGAGTTTTACCTATTGTATCTTCCAGCAGACTAAATGTTTCTGTTTCAGTACTTAGATGTTTGATTCATTTCAATTTTAGTTTAGTGCATGGTGAGAGGCATGGGTCTAGATTTAACTTTCAACATGTAGTAAGCCAATTTCTCCAGTACCACTTATTAATGAGGCTATCATTCTTCCAGTGAGGGTGTTTGACCCTTTTGTAAGTTATAAGGTAGCTGAGTACATTTGTAGTCATTTCTGCATCTTCTACTGTGTTCTATTGATCCTCAGGTCATTTTTTTTTAAATTTTCCCCAGGATCATACTATTTTTATCATGGTACCTTTGTAGTATAACTTCAAGTCAGGGGTTGTGATGCCCCAGGCCTTGCCTTTGTTTCCCCAAATTACTTTTGCTAGTCTCTTTTGGTCCAATTGAATTTTAAGATAGTTTTCTCTAATTCTGTGAGGTATGCTATTGGTATTTTGATCAGGATTGCAAAAAAACTGTATAACAATTTTGGAAATATGGCCATTTTCACTGTATTATGTCTTCCTACTCAAGAAAAAGGGATATCTTTCCTTTTTCTAATATCCTCTTTGATGTTGTTTCTTAGATTACTGTAGTTTTCAATGTAAAGATCTTTTACTTCCTTGTTAGATGGATTCCTAAGTTTATTTTTATGCTATTGTGGGAGGTAGTGTTTCCCTAATTTTTCTCTCAGGGAGTTTGTTATTTTTGTACTGTAATGCTATTGATTTTTGAATATGAATTTGTATCCAGCTACTTGACTGAATTTGGTTATTAAGTCTAGAAGACTTTTGGTGGAGTTCTTGGGGTCTTCTATATAGAGTATCATGTCATCTGCAAATAATGACAATTTAACTTCTTCAT